TTTGTAGCATGCTGATATTCACCACATCTGTGGTTTTTGAGCTATGAAAATGTCGCTGTTGTTGGTTACTTTTTGGTTTTTAACCATGAAAATTACTGCGGCAGCTATATTTACCTGATGTCTTTTTTCTTTCCACAGAGAACTGCAGTAATATGGACAGTTGATGGTCACTCATGGAGCAAATGACATCTCTCTTTGACAACAATCCAAGAATCCCACAATAAAACAAAATCTAAACGGGCAAATAAAATCTTAACAACCTAAAGAAAGTCAAGAATAACAAATAAAAGCCACCAAGACAAAAGAGAAAACAAAAAGTGAGAAAAACTTGTCTCCTGACTGGCCTACAAAAAATGGTGGAGGTGATGACGGACACTCTGAAAATTCAAGTCCTCATCCAAAACCTAATCCTGACCCAGAGGCCTGGGAAACCAGACAACACCCAGCGGGATACGACCGCCATTCACTGGTGAGCTGTAACAGGCTGTTCTCCTCCTCCAACTGACCCTCCTCACCCCATCTTGCTGCATGGTCACCAGCCATGCGAGGTCCTCACAGAGTTTCCCAGGAGACCCACCTCCACCTTGAGCTTGGAGCACATCAAGTCCCCGTGATGCCTCCAGACAGACACGGCAGACCAGCCGTCTACTCATTGGACTACATCTGTCTGCCTGTTTTGTCTTTCACGTTACCTGTATAATGTCTCCATGGACATGGGTGGGGTGTTGTTGGGGGAGGATGGTGCGTAGGGGGATATAGCAAATCTTCTGTATGTATGTTTTCCTCTTCCCCTCTTTCTTGCTATATTCTTCGCATTCGATAAGTTGGACAAAGGCTGAAAATCCACCATAAAAACACTGACCGACCAGCTGACAAAGAACACAAAAACAAGGCTATGCTAAATGTTGGAGTTTTTTTATGATAGTCATAGCGTTTATTCTCATTTAAGAGGTGAATCTTAGCTCAAGTAGTGCCCGTGGAAAGCTTTAGCGTGGAGATTCCACTTTCTGTTTCTCGACATTAGGACATCAAACTTTTTATTCCTTAATTTAACTTCTAACAAGGACAGTCGCTGTAATGTTTCCAACTGACAGCCCCCCTCCCCCTGAAAACCCCCTCTGTCGAGCTAGCTACCGCACAACTCCATTACATCTGCCTAAGAGGAGAAGGACAGAGGGATTCACAGGTCACATATCAGCGGTGAGGGGGGTCAGATGTTATCGGTGAGGTGGGGTTTCCACTGTCAGGACATGTACTACGACCCTTCTGAAAAGACATGCTTTCAGATGTGAAAGGGTTCAAGTGCAATTTAGATTGCACGCCGGTGACTGCTGTCCCTCCTCTATGTGTGTGTGTGTGTGTGTGTGTGTGTGTGTGTGTGTGTGTGCGCGCGCGTGCGTGTGCGTGTGAGAGAGTGAGTGAGTGAGAGCGATTATGCATACACACATTAATGTGAGAGTTGGCATTTGTGGGTGCAGGTTTAATTGGCGCGTGTTTTTGTATGTGTTCAATTCACACCAGCAGAAGATTCTCGCCCCTCCCCCCTCCCCTCCCCTCCCCCCTATGCTCCTAATCCCATAGTAAAATTGTAAAGAGGATTTTAAACCAATTCTAAGTTATCCAAAGCCCCATAGGGACCTCAATCTGTGGAACAAAGAATACTTGAGAGCCATTTTGTAAAAGAAAAACTTTTTTTTAATCTGGGGCTTTGATTTTTACATTTGACCTTTCTCTTTTTTTTCTTTTTTTTTTTTTTGTCCTTACCACGTGGCATTCAAATGGCACTGAGTTATTGGCATCGAATCATCTTTGTGGGGGGGTAAAGAAAAGGAAATTTAAGAAAGAGCAATTTGATCGAGGCATGTTTCAAAAAGCTGTAAAGTGTTGTGTTATTAGCAAAGGATCATTTCATATGAAAAGTTAATGATTGTAATTACTGAATGAGTAGTTAGCACAGCCCTAGAGAGAAGAGGCATCAATAACCAGAACCACGCTCTGAGCCCACAGTGTTAGGGAGTGTTGTTGGATTCCTAAAACACACACAAACTGCCTTCCTGTTCATACAGTTGCACACAAACCTTCAGTATGTATGACACCCCCAACCCCACTGCACTTTGAGTGGTCTTTTTTGCTCTCTTGCACCTACTGCAATGGCATTGCCCTGAGGTTCTTATAGCCTTATGGTTGCCACACTTGCCGTTCTTTTGGCTTAAAAGGTTGCATTGGCAAAGACTTAAAACCTAACAGGAGATTGCTAAAGGAAACAAGCCCTCTCTATGCACCCAAGAGCAGTGACTGATTATCTTGTAGACATTATAAAACTCAACCTCTTGCATATAAGGCATAGCAGCCTCATCTTGAGGGTACCACTCTTGGAGCTTAGAGAGAATTCAGCATTAACTCCCCCTTTGCTCTCCAGCCAAGTTATCCAGTGCTCAGTGCACCATTCAAAGCTTTCTTCCTCCCTTTTTCAGGGTATGTAATGACTATTTGCTACAGACTGATATACAGTAAAAATGTTAAAAACAGTGCTTTTCTGTCTGTTTTTATTGAACTTTTTTGTTACTTAAATTTTTTGTTCACATTATATCATTTTTGGTTGACCTCTATCCCTGTATGATCATATTAAAATATAACCAGACATTTGGAGTCCTCACTTTTTTTTGTAATCTTTATAATCCCTCTTAACTTTCTTTTATACATTTTTTTTGTTTCTTTGTATTCAGTTGCATTTTATCTACCACTATTATTATAAATAAATATGCACAGTAACACCCATGCCAATAGGAGCAGGAAGAGTCTTTAGGAAGTGTGTTACCTACAATCAAATCAGGTTTGAACTATCCACCCCTCGCCTTTAAAGAGTTTCCTTCATGTGAAAATCTCCTTTATCGCATGTCTGTGTAATTGACCGAAATCTCTCTCTTGGTGTGCCATTGTTGATTGACAGTTGCCACTTCTCTAACCCGTATCAAAGCCAAATCACTTAGGGCACCTAGTGGTGTTTTCTGTAGGTTACGTGTGTCATGGTCTGATATTCATACTCTGGAAACCTCTTTCTCAAATCCTGGACCGCAGAATGGACTCCTCTTCCACACCTGACATTATTTCAGAAGACTTGAGGCAAATCATACACTCAAGAGCCCAAACAAGAGTTTCAGTATCGTCCATCATTCACCTGCTGGTGGCAAATGCTATGTCTGTATGCAACCTGGTGTCTACTCTGTTCTTTTGTCTGAGTTTACCAAGGGAGTTGTTTCTGATTTAACTGTCTTATTTCTCTCTGAGGTGAAGGTGGTGGTTGTGGGTAGGGGCTGGGTGGGGAATACTAAGGGCTTACTGTAGCATCTCTAAGTTCCTTGGGCAAGGGCGGGAAGGGGTGATGTGTGGGTTTGCGTTCAGTGTGTTATTTACAAAAGTGATTGTACTGTTTTGTATTGTTGTGTAGGAAAAGTGTTATGTATGCATATTTTCAATAAAGCATTCAGGGTTTTGAAAAAAAATGGCCCATGGAAGTTTGATGGGGCAGGAGATTGTGAAGGCCACCCATCAGATGCCAAGAAATCTCATTTCGCCTCCACCCCCCTTCAGCGATAGTTCTGTAGACCCAGGTTGGCCCTGAATCATTGTTTTTGGCAAAGCATGTGTCAAGGGGTCTCTGGTGGAAAACACTGAGTTGAATTTCTGTCAAAATTCCACTTTGTATTCAGTCATGATTTCTAAATGTGTTGAAAGCAATGTCTGGGGCCAGACCATCTGGTAAGAGGCAATCTTCAATGCCAAAATTAGGAAAAATAAGAACAATTGCCAATAAAGTGACATTATTTTGAGTAAGCCTTGTTGTTGGACATACATTTCTACAGACAACTTGCCATTTACTTCAGGAAGTAGGTGAACAAGGCATGGGTGCTGGTAAAATGTGAGAACATTTTCTTTGGAGACCCAAAGTGTTCAATATTAAAAAAAATATATAAAGAAGCCATGAAATAAAGATTCATATGAATTGATGCAGACAAAATATATAATAAAACCATGAAACTGAAAAAAAGAAAATCAAATACATATTTAACTTGGTTGTTGTTTTGCAAAAAGCATAACTGGCTCTGCTCTTTGAGATGAAAACGTATGTAATTAAATAAAAATGAAGGATGAAATATGATTTAATAATAGTATGATAGGTTTCAAAAACTTTTGGATTATGTCACAATTTCATGGGTATATATTATGTCTAATATTGAACACTTTGGATCTCCATAAATCTGCAACATCAGACTCACTGCGCCACCTGGTGGTAGCCTATATTTCAAAGTCCAGTCATCCTCTAACATTATGATACACTGTAGCTGTCTTTTTGACACCAATCAGAATAACATCCACCCTAGTGGTATTTATTCATCCATTTATCCGTTAGTCTTTACAGGGTTGTCAGTGAGAGCAGTTCACTCTCTTTGAACGAGTATCTTGTGTTATAGGGCAATACAAGCAAAAGCAGACTCCCAACGAAGACAGAGAAGAAATCTGGAAATAAAAGATAAGATTAAAATGGTGAAAATATTTTAAAAGGAAGCATAAAATCAGAAATAAATAACATTTGGACACAGGCATACACGATAAATGCCTAGTTCTACACTTCACTCAGATCAAACCTGTATTTCATTTGAGAAAAGCCTTTTTGTCTTCCATTGCTAAGCTCAATGCTGTTTTGAAAAGACCCCCAGAAGGAGACACTTGTGAGATGTAGGAATCTGTGAATTTGCCTTAAATGGAGAAGAGATGCTGTCTTCATAAAATGGCTCAATAAATATACAGCTAGAGCTGCAGTCTCTTCTGACTGACAGTGATTGGGCCAACACAAACTGCAAAACAGTCATATCCTTCATAGAAACCCATTAGACATGGGTTTGTTTTGCTTCACCAGAAGGGGGAGGGGCGTCCACACTGACGTCATGTTGGTCCGCCCACCCCCTCTCTCTCTCTCTCCCTCTCCCTCTGTCTCACCGTCTAGTCCAGTGTCTCGAAGCCGAAAACATAGCACCACCGAGGGGACTAACTGGCTGTCAACCTAGCTCCCACGGCAGTCATGGCGGCGCCGTTAGCCCACTTCGATGAGGACTGGCAGGACTTTAACGAATTCAAGCCGTCCTCGGAGTCGGCCGACCAGCTGGACCAGCTTAACTCAAATGTGGGCGATTCGTCGTCGGGCCTAGACGATTTCTCAGACCTGGACAACAGTTTCTCGGGGGAGATCTGCAGCTTCAAATCGATGGAGGACCTCGTCCACGACTTCGACGAGAAGCTGACAGTGTGTTTCCGAAACTACAACACCGCGACGGAAAACATAGCTCCCATTAAACCTATCTCGGAGGATAATTACTTGAAAGACGACGAGTGAGTGTGAATTTTATGCGAGTTTTATTAACGCTAACTTTTAATCTCTTTGCTAGCTAGCCATTTTAGCCTCATTGGGCTAACCTAACGTTGATGTGACCCGTTGAGGGTGAGGGAGTCTTAGCTTAGCTTTAATCAGTGTCGAGCAAAGTTTAGTTAGCTGGTACATGTTTGTTAAACGAGAATACACTTTCTGCTGTATATTTTCCATTAATTAGCTTAATGAGACTCTAAATTTTAGGTTGACATTCAGAAATGGAGGGACAGTAACACGTTGCAAATGGAAAATATAATTTATTAACATATTTTTTGCTGTTTGTACCTTATACGGATGAAGCGCAAGTTTACATCTTCTTGTGTATGAGTGTTTGGGGGAGTGGGAGCTGCTGAAGGGAGGGGAGGGGTCATGCCACGTTACCAGTACTTGATTTCATGCTAGATTGGTTGATGTTAGCTATTAAACCACTGATCCATAAAGTGTATTTTGAGTGTTAGTGACTGGCTGCTGACCCATGTTAATGTTGAATATGTGAAACACAACAAATTTGACTTTGACTTGACTTTTAGGAGCTCTGCTGTCACAGTGTGTCATACATGTAATCATTATTCTCTTAAACCTTACACTGTCAGCATCTCCTCTTGCCACCTCAACATCCCTTGTTATCTCAGTTGGATATCCTTTGTTGTATCTCATACACAACATGCGATTCCTTCACAGCCACTCATCTCATCAATCCCACACTGAGCATAGACATCGCTGTAACTACAGAGCTGCATGAATCACCCTCCTCTTGTCTTCTGTGTCTACCATTGCAACACTGTGAAACTCGTCCTTCTGATCACATCATGAATATAAGCTTCCCCTGCTCTGCCAAAAAGAGAAATTGCACTTCTACATAAAAGTGTTGCTCAACTGGAATCATGGACTTGACTGAACTACAAAATTGAATGTGTACCTTGTAAAAACCTCCAAGCATAATGATGAAAAGAAAATGATGAAAGACAACCAGCAATGTCTTATTTCTCTCTGAGGTGAAGGTGGTGGTTGTGGGTTTTTCAAAGATACTTTGAAAAACAATGGTTTTCGGGCTGCAACTAATGATAATTTTCACCATTGCATAAAGAGCAGCAGTAGTTAGTCAGTCAACTGGTAGTCTATTAGCAGAGACTTAAACAACAACTATTGTTATAATTAATAAATTGTTTCAGTGATTTATCTAGAAAAAACATTTTCTGATTTCAGCTTCTTAAATGTGAGAATTTGCTGCCTCTATATTTTGTATCAATTCTTCCTTGCTTTATTTAAACTGACTATCTTTAGGTTTGGACTGTTGGTCAGACAAAATAGGACATTTGCAGACATCATCTTGGCCTCTGGGAAGTTGCGATGTCCATTTTTTAAAATTATTCATAAGATTTAATTAGGATTGAATAGTCATTATTGCAGCAAACCAGCTTATTATTTTCTCGATTCATTGATTAATTGTGTCTAAAATGTCCATCACTTTTTTCTAACACCTCAGGTGACATCCTCAGATTGCTTATTTTGCTCAACCAATAGTCTAAAACCAGAATGAATTCCATTTTACAACCACATTTGATGAAGAAAGCAGCAAATTTCCACAGTTCAGAATCTGAAACTAGTGCATGTTTGGTATTTTTCCTTGAAACATTATTTTAATAACTAATCATTCATTATCAAAAAATACTTTTTTATCAGTTGAACAATGATTCAGGCTCTACAAGGGTCTGAACAAGCTAGTGTATTATTATCATGTTAGATAATTAACATCAAAGCTAATATTAGATAAATATCTAGCAGTTATCTCACAGATATTAGCTGATCAGTTGGACATGAGCATTGAGGACTTGTGGCTGGACTCAAAGAAGACCTCTGGTGCCGATGTAAAGTTTTTACTTGAACATTTTGTAATTTAACCACAACTTTACCTCACACACACAAACCAACATTCATGCGTCACAGAGGGTTTGTAGTGACAGTTATGCGCAGTCAATGGTGCTCTAAATGTCTGGAGGAATTTAGGAAGGCTTGTCAGATGTGAGGGAAACTTCCATGGTTGTTATAGGTAAAGAAACAGAGGATGGAGGGAATGGAATAATTGGACATCAGCCTGGTGAAGCCCAAAGAGCAGTGCCAGGCTCAGTGAGAGTCTTTTCTGAATGACTGCGCTTTTGCAGGACGTGTCTAGGCGCTTAACAAGTTCTCCAGTAAGACCATAGCTGAGACGAACATTGGGGATGACAAGGAGGAAGTGTGTTTCAGTTAGTGTGCACAGAGAAAGCAAAATGTTTTTGTGCGAAAGCCAAGTTGTGCATGTGAATTATATGTTTGCCCATGTGTGCAAGATACAACAACAAATGCATAAATGTATTCGAGCAAGAAATCCAGAAAAATTGGCACAAAGTTGAAGTAGAAACAAATGACTTTGTTCCTTGAAATCTGGACTAGGCTTGTTTTTGAAATGCAAATGCTCTCCGTGAAACTGAAGCCAATGGTGCCTTTTGGCATACACTCACGTGCCCGAGACAGCGTCACTGCTTGCGGCACAAAAGATATTTCCTGCCAGCCTTTGCCCTATTTAGAACAAGCCAACAGCCCCCTACTCACCAAGCTGTGCATGAGCACTTCAGGGAGAAACATGCAAGTTACGTAAACACTTGTCTGTGTGTGTGTGTGTGTGTGTGTGTGTGAGAGAGAGAGGGAGAGAGAGAGAGAGAGAGAGAGAGTATGACGATGTAGAGCCACTCTGACACATGGGTTCACAGCATCCATCCTCGATCTGCTCGCAGCAGTCGGGGCCAGGAATAAAAACACGGTGACTTGCATGTGCACGTGAATTTTATATCATGCACCGACTCGATTTTCTGTCACAGTGTTTGAAAAACATGCACAATGCCTGCAGTTGTTAGTTTTTTTTCTACTACAAGGGAAGGAGAAGATTCACAGTCTTCATTAAACTACACATAACCTTAAATGGCATCTCCAGTCTCTGCTCATCCTGAATAAAATGAAATTAATGGGGCTTTTACAAATTAGCTGGAGCTGCAGCCAGTTGATGCTCACTTGAGTAACTAACACAAGCTGAGTGTAGAGTAAATTACTAAACAGCCAAATGTACATAATTGTACACATTTAACAAGATGCTTCAATATGCTTTGACAAAGATGATGGTGGCAGCGTTGAACAATAAGCTTGTTATGTTTAACAGGCTCTGCTCCACCATCTGCCCGGCTGTGATATGTTCTCTGCCAGCTTGCATGCTTCACACTATTGTAAACATTCAACAGTCTGTTGGTATAATGCATACACTGTTTCTTAATTAGCCAGTTTAAACTTAAATAAGGGTCTAATGATCTAAACACACAGTTGATTAAATGTGAGTTTTTCAGACATTAAGTCCAAACAAGCTACCTAAACAGACCTTCATTTTAAGGTTGAACTAGCATACATGTGTCAGTGTGTCTCACCAGGGAAATGTGTGATTAGGGAGTTGTTGCATTCGTCACTGGATTGAGGCGACTGCTGTGAGATGCAGCAGCAGGAACACAGTGAAGTTGTGAGGGGGGTGGAGGGAGGAGAGAACATAACACTGCCAAGTAATGCTGTGTCACAGTTAAAAGAGAAGGAAACGGCTTGTTTTATCAACTGTGATCTGAAAACCCTTCACATGTCTTCTGCTCTTTGCTCAAAACTTTATTTTGTCTATAATTACAGTATATCATTCTACAATCCTAATGAAATTATGAATCCTTCTTACTGTTTTTCCAGAGTGTGGAACGCTTTGACAGATAACTATGGCAACGTGATGCCTGTGGACTGGAAGACATCGCACACTCGCTCCCTACACCTTCCCACCCTCAACCTCACGGAGCATGAGGTACCATACTCACACACAGTCTGATGTAGTGTACTGGTACAAGCACACAGGCTACTTTTCCATAAATCTGCACACTTGAACGTGAAGTGTTGACCTCCTGAAGAAGAGTCGAGACACAAAGTGTAAGCAGGTTGCTCCTCAATCTGCTTAACCACCTGTTTGTTGTCTCATCCATGTTCTCTCTCCTTCTGTCTCTCAATCTCTGCTTCCCCTCCTTCCCCCGATGGACAGAAGTTGGATAACCAGTCTCTGGATCTGTCCGACGATGAGGAGCTGAGGGAGCAGATGGATATGCACTCAATCATTGTCTCCTGCATCAACGATGAGCCGCTCTTCACAGCTGAACAGGTGATACATTCACACACATACGTGTGCACAAATGCAGCAGTGTTTTGTATATTTGATATCCATGTGGCTGTTTTGTTATATACAGGATCATTTAGAAATCGGCTATTAGTTAGATTTAAATAAATAAATATATCATCTGGTTTAATACTCCACCCAAACCACAAGTCATGTGTCTTCAAAATGAAGAACTATAAATTCTGTACTTTTATCTAAGCCACTTTGTCTCTGTGCTGAAGGCCTTTCATATCTGCAGCAAACACTGTCAGAATATGCAAAAATCCTGGCTCTCGCTACAAAGAAATCAAGCTGTGACAAAGTGTCTGACAGATCAACACTGTAGGATTCTGATTTTAAATTACATTTGAATAGACTTTATGTAAGCAGCCAAAGTAATTACTCTAAAGTTCATCTTGTTTGTGCAGTAGTGTTTTCTGTGTGCAAGTTTTTAGCCTTTAGCATTTCATGAAGTTGAGTGCATGTTCAGCTCAGTTGTTTGCCCGCCTGCACACACAAATACAAAGATCTAAAGATCCTCTGAGAAGCCAACTACAAACAGACTGAATGGGTAGAACCAAAATAACAATGCGATAAAATAAAATTGTTTAGCTACCAGAAGTTGTTGTGTCGGGTAATATTTATTAAAGTAAGAAACTCCTGTGCTGAAGTGCTGAACATACACTTGGTTTGCACCATCCTTGATATTCTCCATGTGTCTTATGCAAACATCAGCTCAGGCAAGACATGCAGGTCACCAACCTTAATCTTGTGTCTGTCAGAGCATGTGTCACAGCTGCCGGAGTGCTCTGCTGTACTGCTCTGTTGAATGAGACAAAAACAGCAGACAGTGACTTAGATCAACACATTAACATGAAACTCTGGCAGGGTTACCAGTGTCTGAACATGTATTTTGTGTGTGTCTATGTTTTCGTGGTGTTGTCTAGGTGATAGAGGAGATAGAAGAGATGATGCAGGAGTCTCCAGACCCAGAGGACGATGAGAGTCCCTCCCAGTCCGACTTGTCCATGCTCTCTCAGGACCTCCACGCCCTGAAACGCTCTGGCTCCAACACCAGCTACGAGGACCGTGAGTACCGGCATGATTGTGCACATTTCCAGTGGAGAGAATGAAAGACATAAAGCTCTAAAGTTAGTGCTCACCTCCTTGTGTGCGCTAGTGTGTGTCTGCACCTTTTCACACTCTACTGCCATTTGTCAGCTTTCTAAATCACTTAATGAAGTGTAATGGGTCGTGAAGAAAAAGCTACACACATGTAATACCATTGTTATGTAATGTGTGACAAACACTATCAGACAGCAGTTGAGTTATCATCATAACGTGTTATATAATCGACAGCATATATTTGGCTTCAACACAATTTCTAGTGTGGTAGCGACTGAGCGGGTTGCACCTAGTTTACCTTAAGGCTGTTAGATTTTGTCTCTGATATCTGTATATATTAACTATAGTATGTAGTGTGTTTTACATATTACACAGTTCCTAATGAGTGTCACAATGTGTATTCGCAATATTTATACTGAGCCATTTTAACCTCTCAGAGAGATTTTTTTCTTAAATCCACATCACTTGACTTGTGTAATACTATGTACTTTGCATTCTAAATGTATGTAAAGCATTTGCAAGTTTTTGTGAACTAAACAAGAACATTTAACCATGAATGGATAATACAAGGTGTTAAGCTGTACTTAAAGTGTCTGTATCTCTATTGTAAGCCATTGTATTAATTTAATCATTAACAATATAATTATAGTATAGTCAAAGTATAACCTGAATAAACTACCAAAGTACTATTTATTGTGAAATTCCATCAACACTTCCATGCTTCCAAACAAACCCATACACACAACAAATGCATAAATGTACTGCACATCATCTGTAATATATCCATACGCCACCCACAGGGCTGCGTCAGCTGTCTGTGTCTGAACTGACCGAGACTCTGGAGGAAGTGGAAACAGCCATTCGCCGCTACAGTGAGGAGCTGATCCAGGCTCTGGCCCTGCGAGACGAACTGGACTATGAAAAGGAGGTACTTTGATTTTTATCTTCTTAACTGTGTTGTGTTGAGTTTTTGAAAAGCTGAGCACCAAGTCAAAACTGACCAGATTATAGACAGCATTCAGGTGACTTTAAAGGTATAATCAGTCAGACAAATGTACAGTAACGCTTCACTAAAAACAAGCTTTTAAATGTTAAAATCAGATGTGAAAAAAGGGCTATTTGAACATCTGTTGTGCAGTGAGAACAGACTGCAGTGCTCACAGCGAGATGGTCAGTGAATCTCTGGCAGCTTAATTTTTACAATGTAATTTGTCGTGACTGTCATAGTGGTTTTTTAACAGCAGATAAAAATAGATTTAGCAGTACATGTATAAATAAAGTCATGGAAAAAGTAAATTGTAGTGTGATCTGAAAAACCAACATAAATAAAATGACATCTGTTAAACAGGTGAAGAACAGCTTCATCTCGCTGCTGATTGATGTACAGAACAGACAGAAGGAGCACCGCGAGCTGCTGCGCAAGAAGAAGAAAATCAGAAGTACGACTACAACCGGACCCAACGGCCAGAGGACAGCCAGCACGCACATACCAGGCACAGTGAGTCATGTGGTGGCACAGGGGGAGGCATAAACAAAGACAAACACATAAGCCCTGTATGCACGATGATGATGACGACTAGTGAAGCAGACACACGTATATGCAGCCACACACTTATTCAAATTATAAATAGATATGCATGATGCATGATGTGACATGATGTGCATGGGAAAGCTGCTTTTACTCTAGCACTGAGGGTTTGTGCCGAACCTTTTCCTTCTCTCCCCTAATTTACTCTAGAAACCTCCTCATCTCTCTTCACTCTCTGTCTTTTTCCTCCTTCCTCTCACTCCTTGTAGCTCCTCACTTTGGAGGGACTCTCCAATGTCATTCAAAATGGTCTCCGTCAAACTTTTGGCAACACAGGAGGGGACAAACAGGTGCCCCTGCTATTTCTTTCCACTCCAGATGAATTTCTGTGCCATTTTATTTTTCCTTCTTTCTTTTTTCCTCTGTGGTGTGTTATTTTTTTTTTCTTTTCTTTTCTACAGCTACCACCGCTGGTATTTGGTGTCATTTTTTCTGCCATTTCTTTCATCTGTCTTCTCTTTGTGGTTGATTTTTGTTCTCTGCTTTTCTCCACTTCTGTCATTTTTAGTCTTTTTTTAAGTAACTTGATTTCAACAAAGTATTACTCAATCACCCGTCATTTTCATTTTGCAGCTTTTACTGTGGCGTAATCCCATTGTTCCTTTGTTTCAAGCCAAGAAGATACCGTTGCATAATCACTGCTTTTTTTAACTTCACATCAGTAAACATTTGCTCTGAAAGGTTAAAACCAACCTGCAGTTACATTTAAATCCGCTCTCACTCACCATATGTTCACATGATCTTCATGACACTGGCAAACAACATCTTTTATAATGCTGTCACAAGAGTTTGGCCTGTTTTTGTTCCGAAATTGAATGAACAGTATTAAGTGGCAATATATATATTTTCTAATTGTTTAATTGAATCTTACATGATCTTTTCCACTCAGTACCTGACCACAGTAATCCCTTATGAGAAGAAAGCAGGCTCCCCATCAGTAGAAGACCTCCAGATCCTCACAAAGAGTGAGTGTACCAACACACAAACAAACATAATGATAAAATGAGATGTGACTTTCTCCTGGGTTTGTTTGTACTCAAACCAAAGGCATTACTGTCTTTGTTTTGCCTCAGTGTTTGTTTTGTTTTTGAAATGTAATGTACTGTTCTTTCTCTGCTAGTCCTCCATGCCATGAGGGATGACAGTGAGAAGGTACCTGCCCTGCTAACAGACTACATCCTCAAAGGTAAATATACTTTCCATACTTTGGTGTCAGGTAGCAAATAAAATAGCAACTGCAGTCATTTTGCAACAAAAACCTTTGAGGAGTGGAAATGATTTGTTTCAAACAGTGTGCCAATCGGGATTTATATTTAGAGGTGTGTGTCGTAGCCAGGTGACTATTTGATTGTGTTGGTTCCACCTGACATTCACACACCCTGTCCCTCTTTGCTTGAAAGTGGAAGTAATAAGTTCATTTCTCCATTTTCAGGGTAGCTGATAATAGAAAAAAAACATATGACATAGAGAAAAGAAAATCTTAACACTCAACACAAATGTTCATTTTATGGGAGGGAAAAAATGCTTTTCTTGCCACCCTTCACTGTTGACCGTGTACCTTCCTTGTCTCTCGTCTGTGCTGCATTGTCCTTTGGGTAGCTCTGGTATGAGAGCAGTGGAAACTGAGGTTTGTGAGGCACTGACACATTAACACAGGTTCTTCACCTTCAGCCTTCTATTCTGAGCCTTTTCAAACGCCCCTTTTCTCTTTCTCTCACTCTGTGTAGTATCACTTTCTCCCCTCAAAGCAGCTTTCCCTCACTCACTCTTCGCTGTAGCGCCTGTCGTGCTGTGCAGTGCTTGTGGCTGCACTACACCCACCTTGAGATACCCAAAGCACATAATTCCCCTTTACTGCCAGCTTCTAGTAGCAGCTGTTCACGTGTTTGCTTCTCATCTGTAGCTACTGTTTCCTCTTCTCTCACCCCACATCTCTCCCTGTGGTAGTTGCTCTTCCATTCTTTATTCTTTATAGCTGTCACAGCTCTCACAGAACAGCATTGATGATTAACTCATCTCTTTTTGTCTCCACAGTTCTTTGTCCCACGTAAAGCCAAAGGCGAAGCCTTGTGTTTCCAGGACCTTCCACTGGACCACCAGATGAGGGTTCTGGTAATCTGGATGACACCAGATAATGGATTAAAATCCAAACCTTCCTCCCCATTTTTCACAACATAGACTTTCTTTCCTTGTGGCATTTTTTACTCTGCCATTTTTGTTCCTAAGACTTTAACTCTAGATATAACTCCTTGGTATGTATAGTCATAATATTTTATTGTTTTATTGCCTGAGTTCTACAGCCCTGTATATCCTAACTGCATGATGATCAGTGTTAGTTTGAACACCTCACTTCCTGATTTACCAGTGGCTCTTGAACGGTAAAGGGTCAACGAAATAATGAGGTGTGTTTTTTAATCTGTGGGCTTCATCAGCAGGCCTGTGTGAGGGAAATGCAGTCCAATCTGTTTTGTAAACTGAATGCATTTGCATCAGTGTAGTTCATGCCTGATGGGAAAACAAATTCTGGCAAAATTTCTGGATCTTAAAGTCCCTGGCGAGCTGTGGCATCAAGTATAAATCTTGTTTTTCCTGTTTGGAAACCATTGTTTTAATAGCATTGGATGATCAATTCATGCTTGCTAAGGATTGAGATGATCAAACCCTTTAATTTAAATATCCAGATTTGTTGGTTCACCTGTCTTTGCATGTTGGTTTTGGGTTCGCGCTCAATATTAGCAGTTAGTCGAATGTTAAAATGAAATATTTTGTATACGATTAAGTGAAATTGCACAGTTTTGGGAACTTTTCACTTTTTGAAAAAGGGAAAAAAAAGTGAAATGGACATGAGAAAGTAATATCTGAATGAACAAACATGTAAAGCATATTTTTGGATAAGGAGTTGTTTTTAGTGAGATGAGGCACTTGCCAGTCGCCACTTTTGTGACCACGTTGTAACATCATTTTGTAAATGCTGTCCATTGACCTCTAAGCCCTCAAGTAGTGACCCAATCCCCAACAACTTTATCACTTCCACATGAGTCTGCAGATACCTCATGTATTAAATTTTTTGCATTAATAGAAAACAAGCTATTTGGCCGTATCGTTAGATAAATAGTGTAGTTAAGATCATGTCCACTTTGATAATTGTGTAGTTAAGCTTCCATTATAAGCTGTGGGTTTTCTTTATCTGTTGACCCTTTAACTGTTGTGTACATTTAGGCATTTGGTGGTAGCACCAGTCAGTGATCTGGTCATGTAGTGGTTATGTGATGGATGTACTTTAGAGTATGTCTCGCTAGATTAGTGTTAGATGAAGCTTAGAAAATTAAGATAGGGGTGGTGAAAACATCTTCCACAATATTTGTTGTCATGCATCCTGTTCCATCACCTTCCTTCACCTTAGCAGTCAGCATGAGATTTTTAACAGCCTTAAAGGGGCACTCCACTGATTTTTGCTCATTGCCATCAGCTTGTGTGTCATTAGTAGCACTATTCAGCCTGTTAAAACAGTTGTACAGTGTCTTCTGTGGCTTTGGAGGAGGTTTTTCAAAGTTTAGAAAATAACCCTGATGATGTCATAGTGATGTCATCAGGGTTATCTCAGCTTGTGCTTGAGACTACAAATTTATAACAGAAAGTTTGTGTTAAAAACTCAGGGCATGGAGTTTGAAAGATGTCAGTGTTTACCAAACAGAGTGGCTCTAACAAAAAGATGCCATCAAGTTGCATTATGGGAACTGTAGGATCTACTACTATACTAGGGACTAAAAGTCAGAATATCACAGCTTTGGCCTCATCAGTTTTGACCACTTTTATGTGTGTCTTGCAAGTCTCCCAGCTTTATGTCATTGCAGTATTAAATCACTGGAGCACCCCTTTAAAACCATGCTACACCAATCTAACACTGCACTTCATGCTGTGTCATCAGCAAGTTGGTACACTAACGTTCAGATGACCAGCTACTACAGGTGCACCACACACTGTCAAATCAGGTCTGGTCTAGCTCTCAGGTACGATCATCAGTGTTACAATCTCGTTCTGAAAGGTACTGACATTCCTGAGTCTGTGTATATTTCCAACAACATTTTAACAGCAAGACTTGCTGCACTTTTATCTTTTCACTCTCTAAATCTCCCTCTAAATACCTGGACGAGCAGATGGAGGTAATCATGGTAGCCTCTTGACTAAATCAGGGTAGCATTACAGATGTTGATTATGTCATGATTTTATTAAACAAAGTTAAAGTCCTAGACTCTGCTTAGCAGGATAGTAGTAGGTGTAGCTTGCAATTTAATGGCACATGCAAAGGCCTCTCAGTAGCATCCGCATGGTGTAGCAGTCTAGCGAGAATAACGTAGATGCAGTAGTGACATCCGGCAGCAAACTTTAGTTTATTAGAAAATCAGTGGTTGATTTGTAAGAGAAGGTGAAACTGTTGAAAAAGGAATTTACTTTTACTGGTTAAAAATGTGAAGCATGGCTTTCATGCTTGCAGCCAGAAGAAAAGGGCAAAAGAAGAAGATGGGGTACAATAAAGATTGTGGATGTTGGGGGTGATTGCACAAAGGGTTGCTTAAATACGAGAGGTCCATTTATTCTTTTGTAAAGGATGACAAAAACTCATAGTGCTATATTTAACCATTTATATGTACTGTTGCCAGCGTTGAAAACATTCACAACCTAGCATGTGCTGCATGCACTTTACTGCTGAAGAACGCGTTTCTAATTAAGGATAATTTATTTGTTTACAGACATATTAATATCACACTAAAGGGACAAGTGCATGTTGCAGTGAAATGACTCAACCTTAAAGCAAACAAGTATTAATCATAACCAGTCTAAAGAAAATCTCCAGAAGGCTTGTGGCAGTGATACACGAGTGATTTTAAGAAAACGTCCCTCAGCTGATCATAATCTGGTGAATCAAAAGCTTCAGTGAAAATGGTTACGACACAAACTGTGTATATTAATCTTTTGTTTTATAATGAAATGGCAGTCGGCGCGGGGGTCACTGAAAGATCTCGTCTCAGGCCAGAGCCCTTCATCTGGTCTCTTCTTAGCAGACATATCAGTGTAACTACAACTTAGAGATTTATATTTATATATGTACAACAAACAAGCAACAAAAAAAGAGGCTGCCTTTGTAAATGCCTGAAAATGTTTTGTACATTAAACCAATTTTTTTGTTTTTAATGCAATATAATTCCCCAGTTTGGGGTTTTATGTTTACTGTCTCATGTGGTACTGCAGTATATTAATTTATTATGTAAATGTTCATTTTGTAACCATATTATTGACTGTAATGGTACAAGTGTTTGTGCCCACATTGCATTGCAACTCATTTCAAATAAATTAATATGTGAAGACTTTAATGTGGTTTGGGTTCTATAATGTGTGTGTGTGTGTGTGTGTGTGTGTGTGTGTATGTGTGTCTGTGTGTGTGTCTGTGTGTGTGTGTCTGTGTGTGTGTGTCTGTGTGTGTGTTTAATCACAACTTCATTAGAGCAAAGAACAACAGGCCTGTGTCTAACTTTGTAACACTGCCTTTTTTCAAATAATCCAGTAGGTTCATTCATTCATAAAAAGCAGGATCATTTCCTAAAGAGCCACTCCATCCTTCTGTTCACCTCAAGGAATCAAAATTATCAAATACTTTTTACTAATCAGTGAGATTTGGTGCAATTTATTTAAATTAAAAATAAGTCAAATCATATAAATTGTTTTATACAACAGTTAGTTCCGACCAAGTACTTTGATTGGACGAGAGGCATTCCATGAGTTCTGCCATAGAGGCGAGTATAACAGCACTGCGACTTTTAACTACGCGTATCGCTCCGCTTCACAGGTGTTCTATTAACTGCTAATTAGCGTCAGAGTAACGGTCGTTATCTATCTTAGATTGTAACAAACTTTGCAAAGAACAATATATTTCCAGAAATAACATTTGAATTAAATGAGGAAAGGTCGTCAGAAGAGGATGAATGGAAGAAGCCTGGATACCACAGCACACTCCTGAGGTAAAGTGTAAACAAAGTAGCAATCTAGTGTGCACTGTTCAGGTCAGGAAAATGTTTGTGTTGATTAGCAACAGTCCAGTACCAGTCCAGTGGCGGAACTATTTGTATTGGCGTTGTCAAATAAATGATAAAATAAACAAATTATAATCTGTTGTTGCTTATTTAATTAATATGGCGCTCGTAGAAATGTTGTATACTGTTGTCTTCAGTAGGCTACTCGGCCTGTGGCCTCGTGCCTATGACCTAATCACAGCCGTGCTGATATTCAGTGCATCACTCCCTCTCGTGTGATATTGCTTAATTAGAAAAAGAAATGATTTTTTTTCATCTCAACAACCTGACCAGGCTTGTTCGTTTATTAATTTCATTTGTTCGTTGTACTTCTTTGACCTCATCAGCCAGCTTTGTGTCTGTTGTGTGCATAGTCCTCTCAGTTACTACAGGCTAACCTAGTGGCACCTGCAAACTGCATCCACAAAATTGATTCAAGTTTCAATAGATCACAACAGATTTTTACCACAAAGCACCCAAAGAGGTGAAAATGACCAGAAAAGCTGACTGAAAATGAACATGTCTGCAAAAAAACCCCCCAAAAAAAGTAAATTAAGCCCCTTACAAAATCTTCTCTCTGGAGGGAATAAAATTGAAAGAAAAAATGTCAAACAGGTAATTATGTTCTGCTGTATCACCACACAGTGTCTTTAGTGTCTTTAGTCTTTCTCTCAGTGTGTGCTGTGAGTCTGTATTCAATGATGAGAAGTTTTAATAACAGGCGTGCTGTATTACTTCAGAAGAGTTTTCCACAAAAGCAGGTGCTTCCTCTTATCCACTGCTTAGGAATGTTTCTTGTCCGCTTGTGTTTAAATTTCAGCACCGTAACATTTTACACTTGTTTCTTCTCTTAGCTATTCCAACAGTCTTGTCATGAATCATGTTGAGTTCCTCTTCCTTCGTTTTTCATTGTAGGAGAGAAGAAACTGTGGCTGACCTCTTGACAGCTCTTAACCAGCTACAGTGACACTTTTGAACTGGTCAGTGTTGGAGACAAAACAAGGTGGATTTTATGTCCTGTCAGGTTCAAAGGTCGCCCTCAGGTCACAGGTTGGTGTCAGTGAACATGGTGTGCTCCTTCTTCACGGTGCTGAAGCCTTTGATGGTGTCAACAAACTCCTCATCGTCCATAAACTATAAAGAAGAAAGGAGCTAGTTAGATAGAGGATACAAGGCTCTGCACCACATTTCTAGTCTCTTTGAAATGTTTTGCTTGTTTTATGTGTCTTTCTGCACCTGTGTAAATGTCTCCACTTTTCCCACAGATGTATTGATATATCAGTTCACAGATGTGTGATCAGTACTGTAGCCTAGCATACATTTCAATTATGTGGTAACACTTTTTTAGTGGTGGTACTTTGAACAGGTCCAGCATACGTTTTTGGGGTCTCTCACCATCCCACTGTCATGGCCTGAGATGTTTGGGTCCCACGCTTCGTCGTCTCCAGTGAGGGACTTCCCGTCCATCACTTGGCTGACACTGCGTCTCAGAGAGTTCACACTGAGGATCCCGAGCTCACCCTGCGGAGGGTCTTCATCAGTGGGCTCACATTTAGCTTCCACCAATTCCTGGTAAGACAAAACAAAAACAAGACTAAACATATTCTGCACATGTATAGCAAAACTATTGTTGGTGTGAGTTTATCTGTTCATTGAGTTCTACCTCTATCTTCATGGTGAAGCCCTTGAGTGTTACGCTGTTGGAAAAGCCTGTTGTGTCAGGCACAGTGTCGAACTGAGGAACAGAGAGGGAGAGATGCATTT